TAATTGTATTAGATGTGTAACATCGACGGTTCCTCAAAGTAGATTCTACGTCATTTTTTCAAAAGGCCGAGATAATCTGTGTTCCGTGATTTCCCATACTTCGGGTGATTTCGTAAGGTGCCAGGCTTTAAACGACCCCCAAAGATGGAAATTTCCGTTGTTTTAATTATGCCCAAATATAGGTCATGTTTTGATTGTCTACATAAATAATAACTCGTATGTTGATTAAACATCTAACAAAATACATTTTTTGTAAAACTCAATCCTAGAATAATATATCGACTGAAGTATTATAGCTAGTTAAATTTTTAAGATTTTTGCTTTCAATTTTTTCTGGCTTTCCGAATTCATCAAATTGAATGCTCTTAGAAACCACCTGCGCATTATATGGAATAACAATCTCCAAAAGCACAGACGAGCTTTTAGAATTAATATTACTAAAAAATGTACATAAATCATCTAAATTTACTTCATCCTCATAACCTGGTTGCAAAACCATCCATATTTTAATCTCTTTTATGTACTTTGGTAATGATTTTGCTAGTTTTTCTAAGTAATCATCTAATTTTGTACTTATTAGATTAACAGCAAAGTAATTTTGATACAGTATCAAATATTGCAAGCTTGAAATCCAAGAAATTTCTAAATAATCTAGAATACATGTAATTAATCCAATTGATAAATCTACAATATATGGGCAACTTTCAAAAATTATTTCAAAAATTATTTCAATTTTATCTCCACAATATGGACCTATAATTTTAAAGGTTTCTAAACTTGAATTGCAGAGAAAAAGCAGCACAATAACAGGTGCTATAGAATTATAAATTACAAGCTGTTTAAGAGGAATTTTATCTACCAAATTAAATTTATCGCCTTCACTTTCAAAGAAACAATTACAAATAGTTAATTTTGAAAGTGATTGACACTTTTTAATGTAGCTAATTAAAGAAATTTGTTTAAGTTCGACAGAATTAAATTCTATAGATGAAAGAGTGTGTGACTGAGATCGTAGAGCATTTAAAAAATGTTTATTAAAAGTGTTTGTAAGTGTAAGGTGTTTTAACCCATTCTGGATTTCAACTAATTTTACAAGAGAATTACCTAAATTTGGATAAATAGTAAAGTATAAATCTACAAATTTAAAGTATTGAATTTTTGTAGATTTATTTATCAATAATTGAATAAGAAATTTAGAAATCATTTCAATGTAAATTTTTCTCATACAATTTTGAGAACTTTTACAGAATTTTTGCCAAAAATTGATCACAGCATCCATGAAATTATTTATATTAATAAATCGTAAAAATGAGGCGTATGGTAATAATGATTTAAATTCAAATCTTGAAATGTTAAAAGATTTTTTGATGACTTGTTTTTCATTAAGAGACATTTCTTGTATGTAAGATCCGATAGCAAGGTGTATCTTTACTTTATGTGAAAAAGGATTGCACCACAATATAGGAGATGCTTCACAAAACCATTTAGAATTAACTTGTGTGCAAGAATGAAGCGTTTGGATATCATTTGCTAAATTTTCAAAGATTCCTTCCAACACAAGTGATGGAAGTTTTTTTCGTAGTAATTTAGAAGAATTAGACATTTGTGATAGTAAAATTATTTATTTATTTAAATAAATATTAAAAGACTTCAATGAGTTTGCATTATATTTACTCGTCCAAAGGAATTTGTAATTTAATTCTTTTGATTCATTTTATAATCAATTAATAAACTTTTTATTCAATACATAGAAATCATATGACAAACCAACTGGATTTTTTCAATTGATTTCAGTTTAATTGCAATAATTGCAACTTTTAAGAGTTTTAATTTTGTCTAAAACTCTTTAAATCATGTTAATTTTAGGTTACATACTGTAGATTCACTGATGCAAGAATATTCAAATAACCAAATTGACAATTTTTAAAATTACTTCGTATCTTTTTTGAGCAAAATATATATGTAATTGCTAGTAATGAAAATCAATATATTTACACAAGATGCAAATATGAATTAATGAAATGCACAAGATGCAAAATGAATGAAGCTATGTTTCCAACCAAATTAGTATTCTATTGCAAAATATGTAGTTGAGAGAGCATGATATTAAGCAACATAAACACAATAAAGGTGGTTAGTCAATAGTTTTATTTAAAAATTAAATACTCTACCAAAATTATTTTTTAATCTAACTAGATATAATCTTTATTTTCGCTAAAAATGAAAAGTAAGATATTAGGACCAGGTTAGAATTTTACACTCGCTGATATAAATTATATATAATCATATCACTTCTTTTTTTTAGTTAACTGCTTATTTTGTTGCATAATTATATCAAAAATTTTGTAAAAATAATTTTATTTCAGCATCCAATGATGCTGAAATACTATGTTTTATGGCCCCATAAAGCAATGCCAGAAGGAAAGTTCCTCGGGCGCCATTTAAGTTCCTATGAATTGAAATCCATATATATCGAACCTAAACTTTTAATTCTTTCTAATTATTTTTAATATGCCCACAATCTTTCTATTTTGTTTGCAAGACATTTGTGTGCTATCAAATATTGGAAACACAAATATTTGTTAGTTTATTTAATAAAATTAAAGTATAAAACAAATTCAAATCTTGTAGAATAAAAATTAAATAAATAATAAAATAAGCTGTAATAATGTATCAAAAGAACAAGATATTTATAATGCAGATTTTTTGTGTGCTTCATTTGAATTCGTTTCCTTAAGCGAGCTTGAAGTGTGACAGGAAAGTAACTTTTTTTGAATCAATTTAAAATGAAGTCTGGCAGAGCATACGTTATTCCAAAACACCTGAAACTGGAAATAAGTATAACGATAACAAATTAATTTTCCATGAATTCTGGCAAAGCGTGCGTCATTCCAGAAAACCTGAAAAAGATAAAAAATTGTCAGGGCAAGCAAAATCATTCACATGTGAACATATGAGAGAGTTATAATGATTGTTCGCCAAATAAAGCTTAGGCTATTCGATGTAATTTTGACACTTGTAATTTGCTTGTACGTAATAAATTGTCACTAGACTAATAGATTAATCTTTACAATTTTAGAATTTGATGTAACTCAATTTATCGTGAATGTAGTTCAACGTAACGAATACGTGGTTAATTTGATATTACAACAGTACTCTTATAGTCATTACTCAATATGTATTTGAATACTATTTAGACATAGATTAAAAGGTAACCTGTAGATTATTTATATAATTAGGGTTCACACTAACACTAAAATCCAACCAAATCAAATTGAATTAATTGAAACACGTCTATCATTAAAACTAAATATACTGGTAGATAAAAACTTGTTTTATCGTCAATCTTTAATCCCAAAATATAATGAAATTTCATTGTGAAAATAAATTTTAAGCTTCTGTCAAAAGAAGAAAAATCCTTACGATCAACTGTACATTAAAACAATAATTTAACCTGGCCATAAATTTTGTTCAAGACCTCGTTGGTCTTGATAAATTAATAATGGATTTCAATGCCAATCAAGTTATATTAATATAAATCACAATATCGATAATTAGTTTACTAATCAAGATATAATTATAATTAGTACTCTAACAAATCCTTAGAAAATCTGTTTTGCAATTTTAATTTTTAACATACATTTTTCGTATTTAATGAGTGTCAATTTATTTAACATTCAAGCCTTATTCTTACGATTTACGATAATGAGTAAGCATTTTAAAAACCAATGTTGCATGTTTATGCTTTCTGAACAAAGTCCAATTTCAACATTGGATTTGTCTCTCATTTCGGAAAAACAAAAAAAAACAAAAAAAAGACAAACCAAAAAACGGTTCCACGTCCTCCACGTCCTCCAAATGCTTTTATTCTATATAGGATGTACATAAATTCTTTTTTAAAGGAATCATCATATATAAACTTGTCCAATGCCGATATCTCCAAGGTTGCATCTAAAATGTGGAGAATGCAATCTAAAGACATGAAGGTTCAATTTGAAATACTTGCAGATAAAAAGAAGCTTGAACATAAACGGTTATATCCCAACTATGAATTTCGTCCAAATAAGAATAAGCCACGCAGACATTCACAAAGATTAAAAGACTTTCCTAATAAAAAAAGTAATTTAACTGATGAAAACATTACTCTAATAGCCGAATCTGCTTTGTCGAATTTAAAAATATCTTGTCACCACTTCCCCAACAAGTTTCCTCAATTGTCAATTGCACAAATAATGCATCTGATGCATCATACGATTCTCAACCTCCATCATTTATTTAAGCAGATTTCTTTAATTCATCTATCTCCATAACTATTGATCAAATGATTTTTACTGACATTACTCCTGAGTTTTTTATTGATGAATTTGGTCAAATAAATTTTTTAAACTTTATAATTGAACCTTAATAGTCAAGGTCTTTTAACAATAAAAAATTTCAGGGTTTCTCTTTTAGTTACTGATGTATATGTGGTTTTGATGTTATTTCATCAATCCAATTAATATGTTATAAAAATAAATAAGTCTAGAACTTAGATTTTTATGAGTTAAAATTTAATTTTGCTAGCCATCTAGTGATCCAATTCAAAGAGTAAATTTATTAAACCTGAATACTGTAAATCTTAATTCAAATAAAAAACAGTCAAGTTTGAATACAATACGTCGTTATTGAGACATTAACTAATTTGAAATTAATTCAAAGGTTTAGCTGAATTTATTTTTGATATAATCACAGAATTTTCAATTGGAAATAATCAATGAAATAAACAATTTTTATTAGTTGCAAAAAGTAATTCTTTCTTTTAAAGAATACCAAACATGGAATTCGAAAATTTTACTATGTATTTTTTAAAATTGCATCTCCTCGACGAATATTAAGAATTTTGAAAAAGTAAATACATTAATCTATGTGTTGCCATTAGACTCTCATGTCAAAATTTAATATTTAAGTTAATAAGTGAGTTATTTACAAATTAGCTCTTTTAGATTATATAACTGTCTCATTAGGGTGTTTGATCGACTAATTATGACAAAAATATGTAATTAAACCAAATAGTACAGTTTTTTACTATGATCATATTGTTATACGAATAAATATCATTTTTAATAGGAATTTACTATACGAGAGTGATAAATCTTTAAAATCTAACTCCATTAATGTACTTACTTTTTCAAAATTCTAAATATTCACCGAGGAGATACAATTCTAAGAAAACATAAAAATTTCGAATATGTCGGATGTCATACTAATAACCAGCAAGATATATGTATTTAATTGGTGCAAGTTCCACTGCCACAATTAATAACCATTAAAATGGCAGAAAGTAGCGCAGATTAATGGATTTGAACAATATATAATTAATTAACTAATCGTATTATTTAAAAATCTCAATTATACCGATTTTATATGGGTCTATACATAAGCTTATGTTTGATTTATTATGTTGACCAAACACCCTAACATAAACGATATTCAAGTAGTCTTTGACTAAAATAGGGACAGATTTTTTGAAAGATTATTATTAACTTCTTCAAAATATTTATAAGCATGTTCTTCATCTTTTTTGACACCTTTCCCCTCTAAAAGGCAATTTGCCATCCAAAATTTAGCATCATAATAATATTCGGTCTTACTTTCACTTACTTCTGATATTCATCAATATATTTCATTCTCTGTTGACATGTATTTGCCTTCTTAAGCAAATATAAATCTTTAAACTTTTCATCAATTTTGTTAGTGTTTTCTTTATAAAAATTTTCTAAAATATAAATTGTCATCCAAAATTTGTCAGTAAATTTAAATATATTATGTGATTGGCTAGAATAATGTGTTGGTCTGAATTTACAATTATCAATTTCAGAAAAAATAGTCCAAGCTTTCTCATATTCTTTTTTATCATGGTGCCCTTTTGCAATTTGAAGTTGTAATTTATCAACTTGTTCTTCATCGCATACTTTGTAAGCATGTGCTATGTCTGAGTTGATATAAAGCTATAAACCAATTTTGCTTACTTCTGGGCCCCACATAGTAACCATCTTGCTTAAGATGGAACGGATTGCCCAATCCCTCTATCCCAATATTTTTTATATAATGCATAAACTATTTCGGATTTACCATTTTTTTCTAGGTATAGGCTTAGACAGTATAAATCCTATGAAATTATTTTGTTCATCAAGAATAGTGAGTGCACCTTTGGGTTGTCTTATTAGATAGTCGTTATCTAAATTTTCTCGCTTATTAATTGCCTTTCTTGATATATATATTTATATCGGAGTTCATGTGTCATATGTCTGAATTTCTCGAGCATACCATTCTTTGTTACTCCACTAAGACGCACAGATACCACATCATCATCTGAGAAATTAAAAATTGATCGTGTCATACTTTTGTAAGTAACTTCTTATGAACTATTTTATAATCAATTGGTAAAATTTTTATTAAATACATAGAAAACGTTACTAATCAAAAATAATTAAATCATTGTATTGTTAAATTTAACAATCAGAAATTTATATTTTTCTTTAAAAAATTGTTTTTGGCATTACTATTATATTTTGAGATTTAATTATTTCAATTAAAATAAAAACAATTCAGCCTAATTACAAT